CCAGGCCGAGCCGAGGTGGGACGGACCGACGCCGAGGGCAAGGGAAGCCGCATCCCGCTGGCCGCCCCCTCCTGAGGAGAGCCGGGCCGCGGCCGCGGGCGTCCTGAGGAGACCCCTCCCCACCTATCCCCCCCCCTCCGCGAGGAGGATGGGGCCGGAGGAGTCGCCCCGCCGCAAGAGGGTGGGGGCTGTTGGGTTTGGGGCTAGGGTCCAAGGCCGAGGGGGAGGGGTGATTACTCGGGCTCCCTCTTCCCCTTTCTCCTCTCCTCTCCCCCGGTCTTTGGAGGTGGGGATCCCAGCGCGCGGCGTGGGGGTTGGGGGGGGTGGATGTGTGTAAGACGGGAGCGGGGGTTCCAACCCACCTGAGACTTGGGGTCAAGAGTCAAACTCCTCCCCGCCCCCCCCCCCCAAGTCTGATGAGCGGTGAGGAAAGTGATGCCAAGTCTCCGTAGCCGGAGTGAGAAACGCATAGAGCAAGAACAAATCCACTCCGGAGGGTTTTGTTGTTTTACTTTAAACACGCGTACACGCACGCAGCGACGACGACGACGACGAGGGTACTTTATTTTTGATGATGATTATTATTATTTTCCTTTTGGAAATTTATTTTTAAAGAGGTGAGTGCTGTTATTTCTGTCCCTATTCGGGCAAGCCTCCATTTTAAGCCAAGCCAGTAACTGTTTAAGCTGGAGTTTCATTCAGGCCTAGGTCTTGAAGAGAGATCCCAGAAAGAGGTGGTTTGGTTCATCCTTCTGCCTCCGTAGGAAACTTAGCACCCCTTGGTTGGGCGGCTTCTTTGGGAAAGAAGGGTCTTTTATTTGCTTCTAGTACTTAACACAAAATTTATTTTTTTCATGTAAAATTGGCTCTGAAAGTTAAAACAGGACAGTTGGAATCATCAGGTTTTTAATTTACTAACTAAAATGTGGCAAGCGAAGATTTTTGGATGATTAGTTAAAATCACTTTTCGACAGTGTTTAAGAAGTACCCTGGATAATTTTTTTTTCCTGTAATGAGATTCTGGTCTTTTTGGTTTTTTGTGTTTTTTTGATAAGTGATTTTATATATTTAATGTATTTGTTGTTTTTGTGTAAAATGTTTCTTCCGCTATATATGGACACACGCATATATGCGTATATTTTTTGTACACTTTTTAGGATGGTGAGGTGATTAAAGCTTCAAATCTCTTCCCAGAAGGCTTCAACTGTTTGCATATTATTATTATTATTATTTTAGTCTGAAGGAAAGTTCTTCTCTTTCAGGTCCTCTCAAGATACCTTTTGAAACAAAACATTTTTCTCATACTTGGTGACTGAGTGATTTACTAAGACTCTCTTGCTCATTTTTGAGTGTTGTCTGAACTATTCCTGACACTATGAATGCTATTTGGATGCCCCTTAAGGTAAGATGGATTAATTTTTGTTCACTATGATATATATATATATATTATATGTATGTGTATATGTATCTATATACATATATATTCCACTCTAATATATATTCATATATGAAATGCAAACAATATATATGTGTGTGTATATATATATATATATATATATATTAGAATGGAGAATATTTTTTGATTTACTGTTCTTCAGTCTCCTTACAATTCTCTTCCCTCAAAAACTACTATAGTAATTTTCTGGAATTTATATTAATTTGTTTATTAGTGTTAAAATGTTAATGACATTTGCAACTTAACTTTCATTCTAATGATGAATTTATCTTTTTAAGTTAGAACAGCCTGTATATTTATAAAAGTATTTTTCCAATCCTGATAGGATGGGTTGGCAGTTTAGACTTCCAGGTCTACTTTCAAACAGGTCCTTGAGAGTCATAGGTGCTAGGGTGTGTCCTATTCTTGCAAATCAGTAGCTGATTCATGTGTTACAAAGATGTGTCATTAACCATTTGTTTACGCTGAAACTTCATATACTTTTTAGAACATATTAAAACTGCTGCTTTACATTGGAGAGTCCTGCTGCTCACTAGGTCATTGCATGCGATTTTTCACTTTCTTTCAACAGGTAGCATTTGAGCCAACTTTTGTCTCACAGGATAAATCTCATTTGGGCAAGTGGACAGGCTGTATTTAAGATGAAAAAAGCTCCCAATGAAGTCATGGTTCTTCCATCTCTCTCTCTCTCTCTCTCTCTTTTTTTGGTCTGTCAGTCGTGGGGCTTGAACTCTGGGCCTGGGTACTTTCCCTGAGCTCTTCAACTCAAGGCTAGTGCTTTTTGCCACTTCAGGTTTTCTGGTAGTTAATTGGAGATAAAAGTCTCACTGCCTTTCCTGCTGGGGCTGGCTTTGAATTGCTATCCTCAGATCTCAGCCTCTAGGATTACAGGCATGAGCCACTGGTGCCTGGCTTTCCATCTCTTATAGCTTGCTCCTTCTCTTCTTCCCTTCCTCCCTTCTTTTCTTCCTCCCTTCCTCCTTCCCTCCCTCCTTCCTTCCTTCTTTCCTTTCTTTCTCTTTCTTTTTCTTCCTTTCTTTTCTCTCTTCTTTCCTCTCTCTTTCTTTCCTCTTTTTCTTTCTTTTCTTTTTCTCCTTTTCTTTCCTTCTCTCCCTTCCTCTTTCTCTTTTTCCCTCTTTTTTCATTATTTCTCCCTTTTTCTCTCTTTCTTTCTACATTTTCTCTCTTTATTCAAAACATGACAATCTTACAGCTCTTTCTGGTATACTAAACAACTCTCTTGGCTAAAGAATTTTATTAAGGGGCTGGGAAGGTGGCTCAGTGGTAGAGCGCTTGCCTTGCATGCCTGAGGCCCTGGGTTCGATTCCTCAGCACCACATAAGCAAAAAGAAAAAAGCCGGAAGTGGCGCTGTGGCTCAAGTGGTAGAGCTCTAGCCTTGAGCTGAAGAGCTGAGGGACAGCGCCCAGGCCCAGAGTTCAGGCCCCACGACCGGACTCCCCCCCCCAAAAAAAAAAAAAGAATTTTATTAAGACTAAGCAGAGGGCAAAACTTAAGTGTAGCGAGGAAGCAGGAGGAAGGATGAAGAAAGAAAGGTAGCAGTGGAAACCATTCTCTTTCACTTTCTTCAGAGTTAGATGCTAATATAGTTAAGATTGTTTTATTGTAATCCGCTCTGTGAACTTCCAGATGAATGCAGTGGATAAATCAGAATAATGTAGTGTGTGCAATCTAAATATTTGGACTTGTGGAAAATCTTGTAGACTGAGTTCTTACTCTCATTTATGTACCAGATTCTATTGTTGGATAATTGGCACTTATTTAGTATAAAGGAAGTCAAAGTGACACAGTTTTTCCACAGTTTCTCCCTATAGAGTTAGAGGGATTGAGTGGGGGAACATAGCCAGAAGTCCTGAGCCCCTAGGAATTGGAGGACCTTGTTTAATAGTGTTTCCACTTTATTTATTTATTTATATGCTGGCTGTGGGGCTTGAACTCTGGGCGTGGGCACTGTCTCTGCACTCTTCAGCTCAAGACGTGTACTCAACTGCTTGAGCCACAGCTCTAGTTTTGGTTTTCTGGTGGTTTATTGGAGATAAAAGTCTCACGGACTTTCTTGCCCAGGCTGGCTTTGAACCGTGATCCTCAGATCTCAGCCTTCTGAGTAGCTAGGATCATAGGTGTAAGCCACCGGCGCCTGGCTGTGTTTCCACTTCTTAACAAGTACTGAGTGCTTCCTAGGAAGCTTTCACCAGGATTGGTATCAACTTATCAGATTTCATGTTAGTTTCCTTGTTTTTAATTAAAGGTATGAAGTATAAAGAAGCCTGCTTTTTCAGATACCTATGCTGTTTAAGGTTTTACTTCTAAATCTCAGTGAACTTGACATTTAATAAATCAGTAAATAACTCCTGATGTAGGAAAGGCCTCTGGCATGGCAGGAATACATTTGTCAATGTGATTTATTACCTGTTAACTACTTGGGAATGTAGTTGTAAGGCTTCCTTAATTTTGTGTTCCTAACCAATCCTTTGATCAGTGGAAAATATCTTGTAAGTCAAAACCTTTTTGATATAGTGTCTCATTCTGTAGCACAGACTGGCCTTGAACCCTCAATCTTTCTGCCTTGGGTGCTGATGTTACAGATGCCTGCCAAAATTTTATTTATTTATTTCCTTGTTTGTTTGTTTAACTTGTGCCAGTATTGAGGAGGCTGGAACTCAGGGCCAGGACACTCTCCCTTAACTTATTTTTTTTGGCAGTCATGGGGCTTGAACTCAGGCCTGGGCACTGTCCCTGAGCTTTTGTGCTCAAGGATAGGACTCTGCCATTTTGAGCTACCGGGCCACTTCTGGTTTTCTGGAGATTAATTAGATAAGAATCTCAGGGACTTTCCTGCCCAGGTTGGCTTTGAACTGTGGTCTTTAGATCTCAACCTTCTGAGTACCTAGGATTACAGGCATGAGCCATAAGCTTCTGGCTCTCAGGATTTTGAATTGCAAATTTATAGTTTATATTGCTAGTACTCACCTTGCAGTTCAAGGCTTTATATGGGGAGGGATTTATACAGAGTGAGTTTACTGTGCAAAATATTTAGAATAGCTCAATAACTATCAACTGCCAATTTTCTTTATGACATTTGTTTGCTAAGCCTGTGACTTTATGAATAGAAATATATTACCTATAATATTGTGAATGTTAGAAGTCTAAGGACAGCTGGGTGCTGATGACTCACGCCTGTAATCCTAGCTACTCAGGAGGCTGAGATCTGACGATCTCAGATCAGCTGGGGCAGAAAAGTCTGTGAGACTCTTATCTCCAATTAACCACCAGAAAACCAGAAGTGGTGCTGTGGCTCAAGTGGTAGATCACACATATCTTGAACTGAAGAGCTCAGGGACAGCACCCAGGCCCAGAGTTCAAGCCCCATGGCCGACAAAAAAAAAAAAGAAAAAAAAGAAATCTAAGGACAAAGGCATGCTTCCTAGGAAGATGGTTAGGCCTCTCTCTTCCAGCTTATGGAAGATTCTTGGCTTGTGTTATTATAACTCCAACTTTACTTAAAATTAAGTCCTCATGTGTCTTTGTCTAGAATTTTCTTTTTTTTTTTTGGCTGCTCCTGGAGCTTGAACTCCCAGCTTAGGCACTGTCCCTAAGCTGCTTTTGCTCAAGACTAATGATCTACCACTTGAGCCACAGCACCACTTCTGGCTTTTTCTGAGTAGTTTATTGGAGGAGTGTCATGGACTTTACTGCCCCAGCTGGCTTCAAACTGCCAACATCAGATCTCAGCCTCTCAAGTAGCTAGGATTATAGGTGTGAATCACCAGTACTGAAGTAGGGTGCATCCTCAGGACTTTTTTTTTGGGGGGGGGCTGGTATTGGGTCTTGAACTCTGTCTGTGGGTGGGCTTTTTTACTCAAGGCCAGCACTCTACCACTTAAGCTACAGATTTATTTCTGGCTTTTTGATGATTAGTTGGAGATAACCTTATGCAGGCTGGCTTTAAATTGAGATCCTCAGATCTCAGCCTTCTAAGTAGCTAGGACTACAGGCATGAACCACTGGTGCCTGGCTCTTTTTTTGGGTGGGGGAGAGGAGGCAGTCCTGGTGCTTGAATTGAGGACTTTATGTTCTACTTTTTGTTTTTTTGTTGGTCATGTGTCCTGAACTCAGGGCCTGGGCGCTGTTCCTGTCCTTTTCTGTTCAAGGCTAGTGCTTTACCACTTTGAGCTACAGCTCCACTTCTGGTTTTTTGGTGGCTAATGGAACAAGTGTCTCACAGACTTTGCTGCTTGGGTTGGTTTTAAGTCATGAATCCTCCTGAGTAGCTAGGATTATAGGCATGAACCACTAGGGCTGACTACCTTCTTTTTTTTCCCCCAGTCCTGGGACTTAAACTCAGAACTTGGGTACTATCCCTGAGCCTCTTTGTGCTTAATACTAGTGCTATACCACTTAAGCCAGAGTGCCACTGCAAGCTTTTTCTGAATAAGTTTATTGGAGATAAGAGTCTCATGGCCTTTCCTGCCTGGCTGGCTTTGAACTTTGATCCTCAAATCTCAGCCTCCTGAGTAGCTAGGATTACAGGTGTGAACCATCAGCTCCTAGCTTTTTTCTTTCTCTTTTCTTTCCAGCTTTCTATTTAAGCTACACCTCCACTTGTAGCTCTTTACTGGTGTTTTGTTTTCTTTTTGCCAGAGCTAGCATAGAGCTGTGCTTAGATCTCAGCCTCCTGAGTACCCACCAGAACCTAGTCTGCATGATCTCATTTTTACTTTATGACCTCGGTAAAGATTTTATTTTCAAATAAGATCACATTCTGAGAAACTGAAAAATTATATATCTTTTTTGGAGGACACAATTTATCTTGTAAAACAACCAATAGCCTAGTAAACACCTGTTATTAGACTTGAGTTTTTAGTATTTTTTTTTCTTGTTACCTACTTGATGATCTCTTAATCTTTGTACCAAATTCCAGCAAACC